TAAAAGATTGAGGAGAAAGGAATCTCGGTAGATGAGGGACCAATTGAGTGTGGAGAGTTATGTTCTAAAAGAAGATACCCCTAGGCCCAGGGCTAATGAAGGTAGGATTGGTCTGGAATTCAGGAGTAGAGGTACTTGAGAAGGGTAGCCTGGTTCTCTACTTCTTGGTCTAGTATTGTTTTGTGGCAAAACTTTCCTAGATCCTTCCTTTGTTGTCATCTACCTCATTTGTCAGTCTGTGGGCCTTGGTTTGTTTCTTCTCCTGGGTCCCTTTTGCCTTTTCTGCTTGGAGGCTCTACTACAGCTTTGCTAAGTTTAATTGGGGCTAGATTCTGACCCTGTTCTCGTGTATTATGCTTTATCGCTTTTCTCACTAAACTAACTGTAAGCTCTTTGAGGGCAAGAGCAAGGTTTGAATTACCTCTTGGCTCCCACATCCAGCATGGATCCTGTGTCCTTGGGCTCTGACCAGAATGCCTACCTTTCCTGCCTCAGCTGGGCTGGCCAAAGTAGCAAGACCTTCTCTCACAGGTGGTGTGGTGGAGGTGGGAATGTGTGCTGAATCAATACATGGCTCCTTATGTCTAGCTTTCTTTTCCCACTGGCCCATAGTTTGGAAATAGTAGCTGCTTTTCTGGGGCAGCTAGGGCGCCTGTCCAGAGTATGCTCTATCAGGCATTGTCAGCTCTTCAGCAAGCCCTGGTCCCACTCTTAACCTAGAGAAGGCCCTGGGTTACTGGTGTTGTTCTTGGCGGACCACCGGGCCCTTCAGCAAACAGGGAGGCGAGTGTGTACCCGGCTCGGTCCTGTTTGTGTTGGCTTAGCCAGGCGGGGGATTAGCTCAGCTGGGCTGCTAATTGCCTCTGAAGTGTTGGTTGGGGATGCTGACAAGGACTGGGTCTCTAGTCCCCTCCTCCCTCAGCAGGCACTGTGCCAACCTTGGGGGCCTGACTTGGAAGGGCCCCCTTTCTCCCGTCAGTACCTGTTTAGTCTAGACCCTCAAGATTTGGGCAGGGGTCACCAGAACTGGCAGCTCATGAAGAAATGGGAGAGATGCCTATGTAGTCATCACCTGGGCCGGGCCAGGCACGTTCCATACCCCTCTCTCACATCTGTAGTTGACACCCACCTACTCCCATCAGATGCTTTCTGAATCTCGGCACTTTATCCTCTTATTAGGATGCTGCTGGGCTAACCTCAGCTTTAGCATTTTCTCTTTTGTCTTCTCCCTATATTCCTGTCTTTCCTTTCCTCTACCTTTTCCTCACTCAAGTTTCAGCTTCTGACCCATTGCCCTGTTCCTTCACTTCCCTTCTACCCTGTTGTCCTCTGTCCTTGCCCTTAGTTGGCTCCTGTATGACCTTAAGTCTGCCTCTGGTGCCCCTGTACTTTCTGGTAACTGCTTCTTGTCAGGAAGAGGCAAAGCACATGGCATGGTGGTGGTGGTGGTAGTGGTCCACTTTAATCACTGCATTTTTTTTTTTTTTTTAATCTCTCTGAGCTCAGAGGGTAGCAGCTGTACAGAATGGAGTCTGGACACAGCCTCTCTGCCAGCTGACCTAGCCTGGGGGCTGAAAGCTTTCCATTCCACAGGTTGAACCCTTAGGGTCTGCCCCAAGCCCATCATGAATTTCTTGGCTTCTGCCTCCACTTGTTTTTTTACCCCCACCTCCACTTCTGACTGTGTGTTCCTTTTCTCCAGCTCCATGGTCTCATCCTGCTTATTGCCCATAGTGTAACCTCAGCACAGTCTCTACAGCTGGTGCCGAGAGGAAGCTTTGTCTTGCTCCCCTGCAAGTTCTCTGCTTACAGAGATCTTCTGCTTCAGATCTCCAGGATGGGGTCAAGTTCAGGGCACCTGCCTTAGCCCCTAACCTGTTCCATATTGTTCCTTTCTCTTATTTCATTCCCTCCTTCAGCCCCTTAATCTTCCAACTACCTTAACTATCTCCATTGTTTCTGGGAAAGGAATATTCATAACAAGAGTTGCCATTTGTTGAGCTTTATATACTAAGCCTTGGTTAGTATACCCAAGAAATGGATTCTATTATTTAACCCCATTTGATGTGTGTGGTGGTTGCGGGGCAGTCCCACATTATGGGTCTGGGAATGAGTCTCAGAGAAGACAGTGAATTATCTGAGGTTCTGTGTAAAGAACTGATCTTGGTGGGATCCAAGCACAGCTTGTTTGGTTTCAAAATCTGGGACCTTTTTATAATTTTAGAAAATGACTGGTCCTGGACATACTGATTTCTTGTTCCTCTGTCTCAGATTTGCTATAACCCCAGTTCCTCTTCTGCCTTCTACCTTCATTTGAGGATTTTCTTTACCATCCCTGCCTCAGGCCACACACATCCAGTTCTTCCCAAAACCCTGCTGTCCTTAAAGCACTTTCCTTCAGCCCTTTACCTAACCCTAAGCCAAACCTAACTTTCCAGGTTTTCTGTAGTCTTCTCACTTGCTTCAGAACAGGTGAAGGACAGGATTGGGCTCCTTTGGTAAGGATGAAGATTTCATCAGCTGAATGGGGGATCCTGAGGAGCCATTAGGTGTCCTTAACAGCAGGGAGCCTCATGGACTGAGGCTTTTTACATGGGTTGTATGAAGTTCTTGATTCCACTCTGGATCCTGACTAGTTCTAATCTGGAGTCTGCTTCTGGCCACAGGCCTTAGATCCTTTGTCCAATTTGAGGAGCTAAGTTCCATTGTCCCCTACTACCTGTGTCTGCACCCATTTATCACATCCTCCTCCCCATACTCATTAAAGTTTTGATCACCTTATTCAGCCTAAGGTTTAAATAGTTGGCCGTGGGGAGATAGAACCACTATGTGTTAGTGTACTTCAGAGACAGCTCTGGGCCTTAAACATGCTCTTCAGAAGAACCAAAGGCAAAGGGGGCTCTTGTATCTTATAACATTTGGTGTTTACTTGCTTTTCTTATGTCCTTTCCCAAGTCTCTCTTCCTAATCTGTTTTTTAAAAGAACGGTTACTGTCACAATTGCCAGATATAGAAATAATCACTTTATCGTGCATCAGACTATGTCTTAGGGATGTCACAGTGGCAAGAAGCCTAGTATAAAAATTGGCAGATGGAATGGGGCAGTAGAATGGGTAGCAGCATCCAGAGCTGGAGTTTTTTTCCAGCCATAGGCCTCAGAAGACCTCACTTTTGCCTTGGGACAGGAACAGTGGGGAGCAGTTCTGGCCAGTTTCCAGACCTGTGTGCAGCAAGAGGGGATGGGCTGTGTCACAATTTTGCCAGTTTTTCTTTTTTTAATTTAGGATAGTTTGTAGTTGGGCATGGAGCTTCTTTTTCCTGTGGCTGTGGATTTCTTTGGAGTTGGCAGTACTAGATATACCAATAGGTCTTGGCTTTGGTTCCTTGAATGTGGTGTGATTGCCTTAGGCCCTACAACCTTCAGAACCCCAGGAGTATTGATCTGCTTTGGGGATCTCCCTGGCAGGTGGGACTGTGAAATCTGTGATTAGTCATACAGCTTCTCCCTATTTCGTAGGCCAGTGCCCATCAAACCACTAAGCAGCTTGGACTGCACCTCTGGGTGGGGGAAAGTGGCTCAACTCTGCTTCTGGAGGGGGTGGTCTCCAGTGGTCACTTGTTTGGGTCTGGCTCTGCCAGTGAGGGATAGTGTTTTCCCTGGCATGGAGCAGACAGTTGAACCAAGTCCACTAGAGGAGTAATAGACCCAGCTGGGCAGCTGTGGGGACCCTTGGTCAGCTCAGCTTTCATCCACATCAGAGCCAGCCTGTCCCAAGATTATCCCATTTGAATGTGGCTACAGCATCTCACTTGGTTTTGGCCTCTTTGGATGGACATTGAGCAGAGCTTGGCTGAGGACCAAGGGTGTTGACCCTCTTCATGACAGTCAACACCAGAAGGCATAAAACACAGGGCTTAGAGGAGAGTTTCTGTAGGCCTGAGCCCCTGTGCCAAATCTGGGACTTCATATTCAGACACTGATTCCAGGATACAAGAGGTTAGACCAAATGGGGATTTCCCCCTGAGCTCAAGCCCTCAGACCTGTAGCCCAGAGCTGCACTGTGGGGGTTGTTTAGAGACCAAGTTAACAGTTCTTTTGGAGGTTGGGAGCCCAATAGAGAAGCAGTTGAGCCTTGGCGTGTCTTGTTCAGGGAAGTCTGGGGTGGGTACCTGTTTTTGCTGATGCATAGGATCAGGCCTGCGCTGCTAGTGCTGTCTCTTGGGAAATCTTTTGTAGTACTTGTGGTACCTGGAGCTCCTGGAGGTGTAGAAGCTCAGCTGTTGAGACCTCACTAGTCAGCCGTTCAGCTCTGCCTTAGAGCCTGCTCTTCCTCAGCCATCACATGGGCTCCAGCCCAGCCTGTGGTCTCTGGCTCCTGCTGCTTCCTTGTCCATTTTCTTCTAGCCCAGAGCCCTGTTCCCACAGAACAGACCCAAGGAGATCTACAGTGTCTGTGCTTTTGGATACAGGAGCCAAGAAGGAGTGGCAGATGGGCCAGCAAATGCCTCAGTGCAGGGCCTGGAACTCAGTATTTGCTAACTTTTTAGTGAGATGAGGATTTTCCTTGAATGGCCCTGTCCTGTGGTACCAAGTTTTGAGATTTCCATTTTCATTTTTAATGAGAAGACAGCCCTGTGGGGTGATGCACACAGGGGCATGACTGCAAAGGCTTAGGCTGGGATCTAATCAAGGATAGTGGCCCAAACCTCCTGCCCAGGAGGGACTAGGGTAGGGAGTTTCCCCTCCAGAGGGGTCAGGCTAGGGCAGGCTAGGCTCCAGGGCAGGACTGTGGTGTGGCCATTTCTTGTCTGAACGTCACCTGTACTTCCTGCTTGGAAGGCCTCACGGAGGTTGAACATATAGCTGCCCATGTGAGGGCTGAAATGAACCCTTTCTCTTTGCCCTGGTAACTGCCCATTTTTCCACAAGTGGGCGATAAGGCTACAGGCTCAAGTTGCCATGGCCCCCTGTGTAAATGTGGGGTGAAGACAGTGAGCTCTTTTTTCTAGGCATGTGATTTTCATCAAGATTATACTTTCCCTGCCATAAGTTAGTTACCTGTTTCCCTAGATGGCAGTATCAGTAGCCCTGTAGCTGCTTATTACCCACATTTGAAAGTAGAAAAATGGACACAGATAACAAATGAGTGGTCAGCTATGATCGTCTGTGAATAGCCAGAGGCATGAGCTAAGGCCCTTTGGTCAGTGGCAGCCACAAAGGCTCAGGCTTTGGGGAAGCCCCAGTTAGTGCCCTTGGGGTTGCCTGCCTGGTTTTGGCAATAAATAACATGAGGACCCAAAAACCAAACCAAAACAAAAAATACAACCAGTATCTCTTGGGAGTAGATGGTAGGAGACTGTTTAAGTTACTGGCCTTCCCTGGGCCACTTAGGTGGTTGCTGGCACAGGCTGTGTGCAGTCACCGGCATGTGTGCAACTCTACAAGCCGCTGGCATTGCCGGCACTTGACGAAGCAGCACCAGTGGAATTTGCAGCTGCAGCGTTCAGCCAGCTCTACCTGAGCTGTGTGGAAGCCACGGCCACAGCACAGCAGCTCACAGCCATCGATGGCCTTGGATGTCTTGTTGCATGTGCGGCCTCTTGTGCCCAGCACGCCGCTGCGTATGTCCTGCTCACAGAAATCTGGGCTGGGCTCCAAGTATACCAAGTCCTCGTCTGTATGTGGCTTGAACTGCGCATTGCGTGGTACCAGTGCCCTGGAGGAGCCCACACGGCGTGGCTCCACCTCAGTGGCACCGTCGAATTTCTCTTTCAGTGCGTGGCCCACCTGGCGGAAGGGTGGCACAGCTCGCCAGCACGTCTTTACCTCACAGGAGCCTGACACCCCGTGGCACTTGCACTCTACCCGCATGTGGGACAGGATGGCCTGTGGGGAGGGGTGGGGAGAGCTGCTGTCAGTGGAACTTGCAGAAGAGCTCCTGGGTTGCGGGGTAGACATCAGAATTGGGTCCCTGGGTGCTCATGCTGCAGAGTCAGAAGTGTTCACTGTCATGCTTCCTCTGTATTAAGCACCTACTATATGCTGTGCTGGCTAGTGGGCAGTGCTGGGAACAGATAAACAAGATGCTGTGCTGGCACTTGGGCACTTAAAAGACCTGCCACTAAGGGGCAGTGTTACATGCAACAGTGAGTGAGAGGTGCCATGATGAGGAGAAATCCTCTGCACTTAATCTTCACAGGAACCTCAGGACTAAGCATTGAGAAGGCAGATGGTGTCACAGTAAAGCACATGACTTATGGGTGATGGTCAGATCCCAGCTCTGCTGCTTGTTTGAGATGTATTACAGGGGGCTGGGCGTGTGCACACATGTACACATGTATAGATGGGACTATGTATGCTGGCTGTGTTATACTTGTGTCCGACCCTGTCCTGTTCTATACCTTAAAAACCTAGGGAGATGTGTGGTTCTGGTAAGAGCCAAATGATACTTCCTGAGGGCTATGTGGGAGGGGTATTTCAGGGACCCCGTTTGCTGCCCATTCCTTGGTGCTGAGGGCTGGGGGTGGTGCACACTACCTTCCTTCCAGCCTCGTTGTTGTGGAGGTTCATGAGGGCCCGGCTGGACGAGGCCCCTTTGCTTCTCTCCCGCACATCCACAAATGACTGTGAGAAGGCTACGCCATAGGCGATGTTGTCTGAGCATCCTGACCACTGGAAGCCTGAGGTGCAGAGAACAAAGAGAGGGTCACAGTGGGTGTGCGCCAGGACCCTGCCCTCCCTTCTAACCACTCCTGCTCTTACCCTGAGGGCTGACCCCATGTACTGTCCGGTCACAGCCACACTTTTCCAGCTCCCCGCTGCTGCATGCCCGTGTTACTGCAAAGGCCACACCTGCTGAAGAGATGGCGTACACAAAGGCCGCTTCCCGAGTCCCTGTGGGAGACAGAGGGTAGGACTGGGTCCTTTGTGGAGAAGTATGGCACAAGGGCCTGCTGGGTGTTGAAGGCAAAGAAGGAGTGTGCCAAACACAGTGGAATGGATCTCACTGTGACTCCAGCAATGCCCACTTTTTGTGCGGACCAGCTTGTCCTCCCAGCCATCAGGCAAGTCCTGTTGCCCCATTTTAGAGAGATGAAGTCTTTTGTTATGGAGCATGTGGCTGAGCCTGCAGATGGCTTGGCCTCCGGGCCTGTGCTCTCAGTTCCCATGGGTTATTCTCACATGCTCCACTGAAGATGAATGATGCTCGTGGTACTTTATATGAAATCACTTTGGTGAGGTGAGCTTATTTACCAATGCTACAGAAATGTGCAACCCCAAATCTGGCTCCCTTTTAGGCCTGCTCCTCAGGTGGTTCTTTGGGGGCTTTGATCAGGTGCCCCTGTGACCTAGCCAGGCTTGTCCTCGAGGCTGGGGTCATTGCTAATATTTCTTGCCTTCTTGTGACTTTAAACCATAAAAACAACAGTTCTGGCACTTAACCCCTCCCACTGATAATTGGGGTGCCCTTTACCCCTATCAACTTTATCTGTACCTATCTCACTGAGGAGTAGAAGGGTTTAGTTCTAGTTATACAGTCAGGAATCTATAAGACCAGGACTCCAGTAAGGTCTGCCTGCCTCTGCCCATGACTGCTCTGCAATTCTATTTTGGTGCCAGCCCTCCTCCTTGCCTGAATGGATGTTTTTATCCTAGGAGCTGTGCCTGGGATGAAGCTGCAATGAAATGTCTTTCTGGGGGTGAGGTGGGGTAGTATGTGAGTAGAGTGCACTCCGCTGGTTGGGTGTGTGACCAAACAGTAGGCTCTGCTCCTCTTCTAGGCTCTGAGGCCCTCTGTGTGCTGTGACTGTCCTTCTGTCTCTGGCTAAAGGGTCTGTATCCACAAGAGTGGTGGGGCAGGCTTTGGCCCTGTGGTTGGCTGTTACCTCTGCGACACCCAGGTCTGTATTCCCAGCTGCCTCAGGGAGCAGTCACCGTGGTCAGAAACAATCACCTCCTGTGTCCTTGTGTCTAAATACAGAGGCAGAAGCAGCTCAGTGCTTAGGTAGGCAGGAACTCAGCCTCGACCACTCAGGATGGCCTGTTCTTGGCTAGCCATTGAACTGGGGGTGCCCATACCACCCTCTCCACTGTCCACTCTGCCCTGGCTTTCACATTTTGGGCCAGCATTGGGGGGTATTGGCTGGCTCAGTGGAGCCTTGACAGCCTAAGATGGAATCTTTTCCAAGTTAATTGAGGTTAATAGCAGGATCATGTTGGTTGGTTTTATGCTGTGGCTGCCCAAAGAGAGCCGACTTCAGTTCTTGGTATTTCTGGTATTTCCAGGCCTGAACCAGTACAAATCTTTGCCCCAAAGACCAAAGGGGAAGGGAAATTGGAGCAGGAGGTGGAGATGATGGGACTTAAGCCCTTGGCCTTTTGTGCACCTTTCTCCTGTGATTCTTTTGGCTCTCAGGCAACTCCTGGTCCAACCCCACCTCTGGGCTGACCTCAACTCCTAAGTGTTCGTGGTCCTTGGGATGCAGGCCTCCCTGTGTGGTTGCTCAGGGAGATGGGTGCTGCATTCTCTGAACCAGCATCCATTGGCTGGGACTCCAGGTTCCTTTTGCCCTGCCCTCAGGGTAGCACGGATACCATATTGTAAGCTTGTGAGTAGCCCTAAAGGAAGAAACTGGTGGGAAGGTAATAAAAGCTAAAGGTCATAGAGAACTTACTATGTACACTACACACTTCACCTGCTTTGGTCTTTGAGAGAGGATTTTTCCCCCATTTACAGTATTTGGTACGGGTTGCACTTTGCAGCTTGGACTTGTAGTGATCCTCCTGTTTTCAGCCTCCGCGGTGCTGGAATTACAGGTGTGCTCCACCACTCCTGGACTTGATCACTGGCTCAGCGCACCCCAGCGGCAGGGCTGGTGTGGCATGTGGGACCAGGGATCAAACCCTGGTCCCCGTGCTTACCACAGTAGGCACTTAGTCTGCTAAGCTGTCTTGCCGGCTTGAGATAGGACCATGGTGTGCAGTTCAAGCTGGCCTTGAGCTCCCTTTAGTCCAGCTAGTCTCAAAACTCCAGTGATCCTCCTGTCTCAGCTTCTTGATTAAAACCTCATGAAAGAACTGGGCTTATCCAACAGCACATACGGTTATACACAACCATGCCTAGCCTCATATTCCTTCATATACTCTTAACAGCAACTCTAGGAAGTAGATCCTTCTAACCTTTCTTTTAGAGATTAAAACACTGAGATACTAAGTTGCTCAACAATGCGCAGCCAAGGAGGTGGTGAAGCTAGAATTTGAACTCAGGGAGGGCATCCTGGCTCCAGGCTTTCACCTTGCAATCATTGAGACCCACAGTGTCTTTGGGTTCTGGAAATATACATGCGCTCAGTTTCCTTGTTACTCTTGTGTATGAAGCCAAGGAGGGTTCCTTTAGGTCTGCCCCAAATCTCATGTGCTGTAGGATAAGCCCAGTTCTTTCATGAGTTTTAATCAGAGTGTGGTAAGCAATTGGCCTGCAGGGTGTGGGTATGCTGCTGTGCCCCTGAAGCCTACTGCTCCAGTGGGCTCTTGTACCTCTTCACCTCTGCCCAGGGTGCCAGGTCGGCCTGGTACTAACAGGGCTTGCTTTCCCCAGAGGCTGCTCAGGTCTAGAAAAGGTCCTGGGGTGCAGGAGTACAGGAGCAGGGATTTCCCAGTGAAGTGGCAGATGCTATGCCTATTGCTGCCTCATGAGGTGCATATCTCCACTTTGTCTTATCTTAGGCCTGGGTGAAGTAGAGCTCTCAGGTGCCAGCTCCAGCCTATGGTCTCCTTGCCTTCCTTGCCTTTCTTTTCTTTCTTTCTCTTTTTCTTTTTCTCCCTCACTCCCTCCCTTCCTACCTCAGCCATTTACTCTTCTTATATCCAGCTTTTTTACCGTGATTGCTTTCCAGAGCCCCCTATCCCATTTCCAGCTCTAAGTCTTCTGGGTCCAGCCTTAATATCACCTCTTCATGGGACTGAGGGTGCCTGGGGCTGGAGATGCAGAAGACTTCTGCAGGTCTCGTAGCAGCCATTTCTCTGGGAGGGAGTGCATGCTAGGGCCTTTCCACATTCTGGCCAGGGCTCATGACCAGTTTAGCAATCAGCACTCTCTAGCCCTATTCTGAAGAAAATAATGTACAGCCCAGTGGCTTGCCTGAGTCTATCAGCAGCAAATGGCCAGGTGGGAGTTGGAACTGAGACCCATCTGACTCTTGGGCTCTTGGGCTCTGTGGAGCACACAAGTGTCTGCCAGATGTTGGAAAGAAGAACATTCAGAAGGAAGAGTGTTTGGAAAACTGCCTGTGACTGAATTGGGCCAGCAGGGAAGCCAAGGGCTGGTGATGCCCTGGGCCGTGGGAGCCCAAGGGAAGAGAGGACAGACAGACTGGTCTGAGAGGAAAACCATTTTGAGGAAGCCTCTAGATTTAAGAGACAATGTAGGGTAGGGAAACAGGAAAGTCTTTGGGGTCAGACAAAGCCATCACTCATTTGTGATGTGACCTTCCTCTGACTCTGGACTCCCCAGCTGTCACATGGAGATAGTAGTGCTCCCTAGGCCAGGCCCTCATATGTTGCCGTATCTCATCCCACTGTCATGTCTTTCTGGGACTCCAGGGTCTCTAACTGGACAGCCTGCCCTACGTTATCAGAATCGGAGTGTTTATGCTCTCCCCCTCTCCTCTCCCCCTTCCTTCTCCCCTCCCTCTCCTCTCCCTTCCCCTTCCCTCCCCTCTCTAGGCATGGTTTTGGTCTGTGGTTGAGGCTGGCCTTGAACTTACTTTCTGGCCCAGGCTAGCCTCAAACTCTTTGCAATTTTCCTCCCTCAACCTCCCAAGTGCTGAGATTATAGGCATGTGCCACCATGCCCAGCTAGACAGTTTTATCTTCCACTTGTCTTTTGTTTATGTGGCCCCTGCAGCCTGCAAGAACTCCTAGTTAGGACTGTCTTTGGAGTACATCTTCCTCAGAGTTAAAATTTTTTCTGATGGCATTAAAAGGCTGGCCAGAGAGGTCTCTGGGAAGGAAAGAGTGTTCTCAACTCCTGGTCCAACATGATACCAGTATTAAGGATAAAACCAAGAGAGCACAGGTTTTTGTGAGGCTTCACCTAGAACTGAGGAGCATTTACTTAAGTTCAACCTGCTGAGATGGTCAGGAAGGTGGTGTAGAAGGGGCCAACGCACAGGCCTGGATTTGAACCTTACTTTGCTACAGTCAGTACAGCACACTGCCTCCTAATGGCATTCAGAGCCTACAGGGGCCTCAGACAGAGGAGTCACCTTTCCTACGCCCCCTACCTTGCTCAGGCTGGCCCACCTTGAATGAAACCCAGTACACCTCTGTCAAGTGCCACCACCTCTCTCATGCTCAGACCTTTCCACTCAGGCAGTATGTGCTTACTGATAAGCAGTGTGTATAGGTACTGTAAAGCAGGAGACACCCCTATCTGCCTCTTAATATCTGCTGTGCCAAGAACTGTATTTCTGCTTTCTTGCCTGCCATGAACACCATCTTTTATCGAGTTGCTGCAAGTTTTTTCAGTCCACAGTACATAGCTTGGTCCTAAAGTATATACTGGCCTAATCTCTTTTTTTTTGGGGGGGGGGCAGGGGTTTACCAGGAATTAAACTCAGGACCTTGTGCTTGCCAGGTAGGTGCTAGCTGTATCCCAGCCCCTTTCACTCTCTCCATCTGTCCTCTCTCTAGGCCAGGCAGGGGCAGCCTCCATGGGGTGGGGAGTTGGGGCAGTGCTGGCAATAGGAGACCCCATTCCCTGCCCCCAGCCCTGTGGGAGTCAGGCAGCCCTTGATAGGCATCTGTGGACCCCATGAAATCCTCGGAGGCTGGTCTGGGTTTGTCCTTTATTATTATTAATTTGTCTTTTTGAGATAAGGTTTCATAATGCAGTTCAGGCTGGGCTTGAAGTTACTTTGTAGCCCAGGCTGGTTTTGAAATTGCAGCAATCTTCCTGCCTCAGCCCCCCAAGTGCTGGGATTACAGGTATGCTCCACCACACCTGGTGTGTCCTCATTTTATAGGAAGGAGGATACTGTAGTTTGTAGAAGGTATGGACCTTGCCCAAGATCTCATGATGGAGAGCTAGCACGTCCAGGACCTAGGTGCAGTAGCACCCTCTGCTCTCCTGAGTGTTCCTCCTCACTTGGGACATGGTAACCACATAGCGAGTTCAGAGCCATCACAAGAATGATCTGAGTCAAGAGGGCACACCACAGGCCCCCAACAGATGGAGGTTCCTTTATTTTGATCCAGGGTGGGATCTGTTAGCCCTGTCTCGTCTATGTCTGAGGCCATGACCCCAGCTAGGCTGCTCACGTATGCTGTCACCTGCAAGGACCCCAGCTTCTGAGTGTGGTTGGACATGAGGTCGACCCAGACTGGCAGATGCTGGAGATGATAGCCACTGGTAAGGACATGTGGCTCTTCTTGCGTCAAGGATAGGGCATATATGAAGGAGTTCCTATGCATTGTGTCACTGAGCCTTGATGACAGCCCTGCAAGGTTAGCATGTGATAGATGCAGACCCTGTGGCTCAGAAGTGAGGTCACCTGCTCAAGGTCTGCTTGCCTGTGCTGTCTCAGCAGCAGTCCCTGGCTTGGCTTTGCACTCAGTCTGGAGATGGACAAGTCCCTTTTCCTCTTGCTCACGGGGGACCATTTAAGGTTCCCAGAAGAATTGTTCTATGGAAAAGAACCAAAGATACAAAAGGGAGTTGGTGGTTGGTGAGTGAAAGAGCTCAGACTTGTCTTTCAAATGTGATAGCACCTGTCTACTGTGGCCAGCCTGATCTCAGCACCAAGGGGACTGATTACTTGAACAAGCGTTAGCCCAGAGCAGCTTCCACAGGCTGGGAAGTGTTCTTGGGTCTCCAGAACTAGCCGACCAGGGCTAGGTTCCTTCAAGACTTCTGCTCGCAGGAGAGCAGGGCACTCCACTCTGCTGGCTTCTGGCCAGCACTGACACATGCTTCACCTTTGCACCTTCAAGTCTTTGTTCCCAACCTGCTCTCCATTATTAGATGGCATCCACTGACTGTATGCCAGGCTTGGCCATGTGCCAGGAAACAGGTAAATGAGCTGTCCCCCTCACCCTGGCTGACCTGAGAACTCCATGATGGAAGAGTGGGAGGCAGGCAGGGAAACACCACTCTTCAGTCTGAAAGGTACATTGAAGCAGTGAGAACACAGGTGTTTGAGAAAAAAAGGTGTATGTATGTATACATATATACGCATATATGATAGGAAAATGGGTTAAATGTAAACAGTTGATAAGTCTAACAATGTACACAGGAATTCCTTGTACTACTTTTGCAACTTTTTTGTAAGTTTGAAATGGTATTTAGACAGTTACTAAAAAGAGGACCTCCCCCCTCCCTCCAGTATAAACAAAGAGCCTTAGAGCTCAGAGGGAATGGCCCAGTAAGAACTGGTCAAGAAGGGCTATGACAGGCCTGGCATATGAAACCTGTGGATATATTCAATCTGTCCAAAATACACTCCTTGAATACCCACAGAGACAAGGGAGTTCCTAAGGTCAAGGTCTGCTCTGTACAAGGCTGGCTTCTGCGCCTCATCAGCCTGGCATCACTGGGTCCTGGGCAACACAACTTTCCTCCTGGGAGGTTCTCTGCTGCCAGGCTGCTCAACCTACCCAGGCTGCTCACTGGGTCGCTGCTGCTTTCCGAGAGCAGTAATGTTGAGCAGTGCCAAGCCTGATCATGCCGTTTTGGCCCCTGTCAGCTCCCAGGAGAATGGCTTCCAGATTTCTATCACAGTTCGTTTCCAGCAACATCCAAATGGTTTGCCGCGAGCCTAGCAGCCCTGGCTATCCAGGCCCTTAGGTGCCAAGACAAAGGTTGGCCCAGGCAACCCATTCTTGTAGCCCTGTAGACTATGGCTTGCTGGGAAGTGTCAGTCTCATGTTCAGGAAATAGAAAAAGAGGCAGCTAGGAGAACACTTCCAGTCTTGACCTGGTGCCTCTCAAGGATCCTTCAGTTCGATAAACACTTTTCTGCACCCTGGCCCCTCTATGTGCCCCCTCACATTTCTGGTCTCAATAGAGGGCCTACCTTCTTGGGAAACTCTAGCCCTACCCAGGGGAGGTGTTCAACTTCCTGTCCTGTGTGTCATGAGTAAGAAGAGTACAGATCCTGTAGCAGGATGCCTGGGTTCAAGTCCTGGCTCTGCACCTTTCTAGTTATGTGATCTTGGGCAAGTGACTTAAGTGTGCCTCACTTTCTTCATATGCAGTGTGGAAGCCTATGAGAGTCACAAAAGGGCCAATGAGTTTGTTTCAACATTTAAGTGGTATCTGGCCCATTGTTGATACCATAGGTGTGTCAGCCAGTATTCTCATTATGCTGTGGTTACTGACTTGTCTGTCTCCCTACCAGCCTGTGTGCCCAAGATGGCCATGCTGGAGGTGCTCCTTAGAGCTCCTCAGATGTGCAGATCAGTGAAATGGGCTCAAGTATCCAAGGCTGAAGCTAAGGAAGAACACTAGGCTGAGGGTTGGGAGCCCTGGTCTGAAGTCTGAATCTGTTCCCTCATGCTCTGAGAACCCCAGGAAGTTCAGTATTATCCCCTGCCTGAACTCTTTTTCCTCTGTAAAACAAGGAGGTTCTTGCTCAAACCCCCCAGAGACAAGCCCTGGAACTAGAGCACAGTCCAGGCAGCAGGATCCTCCTTGGTGGCCCTGTCTGGGGTTCACCTCCACCTGATCAACTTGTCCAGTGCCCCCTTTGGCCCAGCATTGTTTCTGCTTCAGACTTTGACTACTCGTCATTGATGAGGGTGTCATTCCCTGGCCAGGACCCATCCCCGGTGTCCTTCAGCCCTTGTATGCCCCCTCACCTTGTGTCACGACCTTGCCAAAGACAGGCAAGGAATCAAGTGTGGAGCAGTTCCATCGCCGGTTCCGAAACTGGTACTGGCATTCCTCGATGGCCAGCTGGGCGCCGCGGCGCACTGAGTCCATCACTTCCAGGTTCCTCTTGCACATCTGCACCTGCCTCTGGATCAGGCCTTTGAGCTTCTCGCACGTCTCCTCCTCTGAGATGCTCCCCACTGAGGACAGCTTGGCCAGGTACCTGAGGACAGGGGCAGAAGCGGTGCAGATCTGGCCCAGTGCCTCACCCTCCTCTTTCCACACTGGGGCTCTGGGTGTTGCTGCTCCCTGCCTACTGGTCCTGCCTGCTTCCCCTACTCTTGGGCTGGGATCTGTGTGTGAGGTCTGACATGGCCTGAGAAAATGAGGCAGGGACTAGCCTCTGAATGACCAAATGAATGGTGACTTAGTCAAAAAGTACATAGATAGTCCTATTAAAATATGGGACAATTGATGGTAAAATGAGAGTAGCTTAAGTTGGGGTCCCCCCCAAGATTAATCAGGACTGGGCTAATTGCATCATTGCCTTAAATCTCAGCAACCCTATGAACCCCCCTTTTAAGGAGAAGAAAAGAGGCACAGACAAGTAATTTGCCTTGTGTGTAAGTGAGAGGTGAAAAAGATTGAGCCTGATTTTGATAACTTCAAAGCCTTGTGACAGTTTTCTTTTATGTGATTCAAGTACTAGAACCAACATGTTTTTTATGCGGTTCAGGCTGGCTGTGAGCTCACTTTGTAGTCTGGGCTGGTCTTGAACTCGCAAGGATCCTGCCTTAGCCTCTCAAGTGCCGGGATTACAGGTGTGCACCACCACTCCTGATGCTTAGAACTGACAGTTCTGACAGAGGCTGGAGTGGGTTCCCTCAGCCTGAGGACATCAGCAATGGTGCTCTCAGCTCCCTTCCTATTCCTGCTGGTGTTCAGGCAGCAGCTAGGTTCTGTTAGTCAGGTATGTTGTTAGAACAGTGATGATTCTCAAATCTGTCTGTGCTTGGAAACACTTGCAGGGGTTGTGGAAAGTGAGGTGTCTGGGCCCATTTTAGGTGGGGCTTGGTGTGCATCTGAGCTTTGGACCCATCCTCAGGCTCGGCTCCGAAAGCCACTGGCCTGGAGAGCAATCTTGAACGGCATTCATGGTTTTTCCTTTTGAATCCATGGGCCCTCATTCTGGGACAACATTGTCCTCTCTGTGGCATCAGTCCCTGGACAAGTCTTATTTGCCCCTGGCTGTCAAGTCCAATCTGGCTTTCCACATATGTGATGCAGTCATGACTTTGATCCCAGAGGGCTGTTGTGAGGAATGAATAAGATTGGGTGTGGTGGCACATCCACGCTGAAGGGACACATGCTAGGAGCCTGGCAGTGGGGACGATCTCTCCACAGTTGGCAGCAGGTGGCTGAGTGGGAGGAAGATGGTCTCAGAAAGGCAGTTCAGCTGCCTATTGTCTCTCTGCATTCCTAGTTTCCTAAGGCCCCTCTCTAGTCCATTTTATGTCTACCAGGTCCTGCCAGAGACTGGTAGTGTCCTGGCCAGAGAGTGGAGATAAGGTAGAAGAAGAGGCAGGAGGAGAATGCTTCTGGTGGTGGTGCTGTGACTGGCTCCTCTGCTCCCTTGATTGCCCCTGCTTCAGCTGCTAGGGAAGGGGTCTCCTACAGAACCAGTCCCATATGTTGCTCTTGGCCTGTAGGGGGCACCAAGAGCTCAGCTACTGGCGGTGGGCCAGGTTCATGTTTGGGAGGCCATATGTTTCCTTTGGAGGGAGGAGAGGAGTTAAGTCTAACATTGGATCTTTTCCTGTTGTCACCTAGGCTTGGACTTCTGGAGCAGGGTGGGGGGCCTTTATTCTCCCTTGATATGGAGGCACAGAACTGGCCTGTCCCCAGCTGGCTGATTCCTCTGTGCCCAGACAAGAGGGCTAGATCTGGATATGCCAAGCCCTGGCCTCTGATGATGGGAGGCATTCAAGGGTGGAGATTCTCTGGGAGGAGGAACAGGCTGGGAGGCTGACTGAGCCTCCAGCCCACTGTACCCAAGAATGTTCTTTCCCCCACTGGAAGCCTGTCTCTTCATAGAGGCTTATTTATTACAATAAATAGGTAAATCTATATGGCCATTTCTGCTGTTGAAATCTGTAGTCTTCCTACTGGGAGATGTAGGCAGTATCCAGGCCTCTTGGTCCCATGCCGGGCTAGTAGACAGAGTCCTTACCATTGAACCTGGGGAGAGATGGGTCCAGTGTACCACACACTCCTCTCCTAGGCTTGGAGCATAGTAGGGAAGCTGGCTGAACCAACAGCAGGGTATAGTGGGAGCTGTTAGGCTGCCATAGCTGTGAGTCACTGGGACAGTGTCCAGGAAGAAGAGAAACTGCTTCTGGCAGTGGCAGTGCCCACTGGCCAGCCAGCCCCTGCCTTTACCTGGCATAGCTTCTGTTTCTGGGAGGCTGCCTTTCCTTCCCGATCCTAGGAATTTGTCCAGGTGGAGGGTGGGTTAAAGGCCAGAGCTGAAGCACAGGCTGGAGAGTCGGGACCCCACGGTCATGGGCCTTGGGCTGCAGAACTCCTGTTGGCTTGTCCTGCTGCCCAGCTGGTGCCTGGCGATAGTTTATGGACAAGCAGACCAAAGCCCACAGAAGTGAAACAAAGTCCTTCAAGGAGTTGCAAAGTCCCTTAGCAGCAAGCAGCTTTGCTTCAACTCTCCTTTTCCCTGTAGCTGGCTGTGGATCTGCCCTGCTACCTTGTTGGGGGGCTGGCATCCTACTGTGTAACATGTCAGGCCTCATGCAGTGTACAGTGCATAAAAGGTGTTCAGTAAGTGCTTGCAGGTGGGCATGGTGGTGCAGACTAGTAATAACGAGCCCTTGGGAGGCTAAGGCAGGAGGATTGCAAGTTTGAGTCCTGCCTGTGTAACTTGGCAAGACCTTGTCTCAAACTAAATAATACAAGGACCAATGTGAAGGCCTAGGGTTCAATTTCCCAACCCTCCCACTCCCAAATTTGCAGAATGGCTTATAGTGTGGTCCTGATGAGGTCCCCTCTGCTTACCTACTGGCAAGGAAGAACGGGTGAGGGGAGATGATGGGGGACTGCTGAGGGCTTTGGGCTCGCCACCCCTGCTTTGGTGGCTTAACCTTTCCCTCAGAGAGATGTGTGGCACTTGCTACTCCTTGAGTTGGGCTGGGCTCGGATACTGACCGCAAGGCCATTTCTGGGGGATATGAATCCAGCACCTGCTGATATGGGGTCCTGTGAGGGGCCTGGCCATCCCTTTGTCTTCCCTCATGCTGGTTGCTTGCGCTGCCCCACTTTAGACTTCTTCCTGTGCTGCTGAGTATAGGCTTAGCAATTTGCCACCTGCTGCCCGGGCCATGCAGGACACCAGCCATGGCCATGCCATTGATCAGGTTACCCTGCCAGCCCAGGCTGCCCCTGCCGTGCAGCCAGCCCACTCGCTCATGCCCTGGTCTCAGATGGGGGCTGCAGGTCCTTCAGGCTCCTCCCAAGAGGCCCTCCTATGCGCCCGTGCGTGCAGCCTGCAAGGCCAGAGGGCCCTGGCCCTGCCAGGGAGATCAGATCCTCTCAGCCACCTGCTGTTTTCATTAGAAACTAAAATTAGCTGGGCTGGTCCCAAGCTTTTCCAGGTTTACTTGCTTTTTAAAACAAAATATACAAATTTCTCAAGGAGAATCCCCACTTCTGTGACTCCTCCTGGGATCAGACTCTGCGCGTCAAAACAACAGAAGTGCTAGGGAGTCCAAGCAGGTCAGTGTCCCAGGCCCTGGTCCTGTGAGTGTCCAGGTGGGGGCTGGGATGCCAGCCCAGGCCGCTCTGCCCCCTCCCTTTGGCCTCCTTGCTGCCCGGGCCACATTTAGAGCCTGCTCAGGAGTGGTTGTGCCTGTGACACCAGGGAGGAAGGAGGCCAAGTGGGTGGGCAGGAAAGCGGAAGGAAACGGTGTCTACTGAATGTAGCTGTTTTGGGGGACAGGCAGGTGGGAGAAGCAAGATGACAACAGACCCCATCCAGGACTGACTTCCTACGGTTCCCTAGGATCCTCATTCCACCCGTGTCATTTCAGATCTTTGAATGTTTCTCTAATCATGGTCTGAATAGCCTGCCATTTCCTGGAGGGTCTCAGACCCTTGTTCCTCCTCATGACAGGCAGCGGGGAAGGACATGTACAGGATCAGAATCCCATCTCCATGTTACTTCAGGTGAGTTAGTGAACATCTCTAAGCCTCAGTGTGTTCATCAAGAGTAGTAGTTGTAATCTCAGGAGGCTTAAATGAATGAAGTGTGCCTAGGATGGATACCTTCCCGGCAAGTCTCCTGCTGCCTCTCAGGCTGCACTGTTGGCTGGGCTCTGTCCATTTGTTGGATGGACTTTCACTGCCCTATTAGACCTGGCCCTCCACCTTTCTTTCCTGAGTACACCTGGGGCTGGGACACACTTCCACTGGGAATGGGGGAATGGCTTTCGCCACCATCCCAACTGCAGATGGTTGACAGCATCTCCTGGTGGAGTCTGCAGCATTCAGGAATGGGTTAGTGACTCTGACCCATCTGTCTGAGGACTGGGGCGGGGAGATGATACTTTCAGGAGAAAGGTTAGGGCATTGGCATTTAGGACAAGCTCAGATGTGGCAAGGACATGTGAAAACCATTTGGGGAATAGGGGGTGCTTATTCTGTCACCTTTCCAATCAGTTAGTGTCATGTGCCCCAGCATACCCTTATTACATCAGTACAGGGTTGGTCACTCAGTGTCTTCCCTCTACTTCACAGATGAAGCTGAGCCCTAATAGGTCCACATTCAAGGCCATGTGGCCAGCCAGGGGTGGACAGGATTTGAAGACAAATCATTCTGGTTTCTGAGCAGGGGGCTGGTTGCTCAGATTCCAAAGATGGCAGGAGAGGCTGGTGTCACCAGATGCTGACCTGAGAGAAGTGGCCTGATTGTTGTATGGAGGGATGTTTTAGAGCCCTGTGTTCTATCTTGTCTTGTCCTTTCCTTTTCCTTTTCCATTTCCATTTCCTTTTCCTTTCCTTGTCTTTCTGGGACAGGGTCTCACTATGCAGCTCAGGCTGGGCTTGAGCTCACTTTATAGCCCAGGCTGGTCTTGAACTTGCAATGATCCTCCTGCCTCAACCTCTGGAGTGCTGGGATTACAGGTTTGTGCCACCATGCCCAGCCTACTTGGGTCTTTTCTAAACCATAGTGAGGGTATTGGATGCTTCCAGGAAGGAGGGATTCTGGGCAGGTGATGTCTACTGTGGCTGCATGGACAGTGTGGTCTGGGCCATGATCTCTGTGGCTGCTAGGGTCCTGGAAGGAGGTACTGTCACTGGCCTTAAAGCCCTGGAGGATATCCACTGGGGAAGGGGCAGGATTAGAGTCACTAATGGTGGCTGGTGGAGCAGGGCCACCTCTGCCACACTTTCTCCCAGTGTTGGCAGGATGCCAGGGCTTCAGTGTCCAGGTCCCGTTCTCTGGGCCTCACGTGCATTTCCTCTGTGGGGCCTATACCTGTCACCTATGCCTTAGGGCTTTTATTCTCCCTCTGTCGCCTGGGATCCCAACTCCCTTTTCTCCATCCTCAGCAGCCTTGGGACTCTCATTTCTGTTTCTTGGCTTCTCTGTTTTCATGACTTAGTGTATCCTGGTGCTTCAGCCTCATAAAGTACTCCCGGCAGCTCTGGATTCCCTACTTCCTACTGGGGAAGCCTCCCTCTTCCCATCTCACTGTATTTTCCCCAAGGAGCTGGTGGCTGTCTCAGAGCCAAGGAGGAGCCACTCAGATTTTGAGTCTGGATGGCTCCAGTGCCATGCCAGGAGGTAAGAATTTTCCTTCTGGCTGAGGCAGGTGTAGTAGTGGGGCCAGTGAGTATCGAGTTTAAGGCACATCCTGACCTCACCTTGCCCCCTAACTTGGCAGCAGGAGCTTCCCCTTTGCGGAGACCCACCCAGCCCTTGTCCCTAGAGAGCCTTTCATGCCCTGTGGCCACTGAACCATGGATGTGCCCCCCCTGACTGGGTTGGGGGAAGCAGGGGGTGGGACAAGGAAACTCTGGCTGCTTTGTTGTCTGCAGCCAGAGCTGGCTTTCTGGAGTGAGGTTCCAGGTTTCCAGTGAGTTCCTTCGCTTTCATAGAGACCTTCTAAAGGTCCAGTGTTGAGAGATACAGTGGCTGATCCCCATGCCCATCCCTGCCAGAGCAGGGGGGACAAGCTTAGTTCCTTTCTGTTCCAGTTGTTCCTCAGCTCCTGCACAGAATGCCTGCTTAGGGGAACGGGGCTCCAGATCTGCTCTCATGTGCAGCAGGTAGCATTCTGGGAGCACAGTTCAGAGACCTGGATGGAGTGCCAGCCATCCTACCAGTATGCACGGGCCCTGCACAGTGCAGTGTCTGATGCTAGTGAATGTGCAGCGTGTGTGAGAGGGGCAGAGCACACACTCCCCAGCCTGGAGGCTCAGTGTTCCTGGAAACTCCCCAGCCCTGATGTCTGTGATTTGTCCTTGAAGCCTGGGCTCCAGGATACCTCTAATTCAGGAGGAATATTCTGCTGTCTCCAGCTTTGGGGGAAATTTTCCTGGGATCTCACCCTAGGATTATAGGGCTGATGCCCTATAAAAGTGAGAAATTGGGAGTGGAGGGAACCTTCAGAGTCTCCGTAGGAACCTCTAGGTCGTCAGTAATTCCCTGCTGTGTGAATGGGCCCCTCAAAGAATGCTGGGCTGGGGGGTGTTTCCTTCCCTCCCAAGGATGCATCCACCCTCCTCCCATCGACTCCCTTCCTCTCTCTTAGGAGATCAGGTCCTCTCCTCTGCAGGGGTTCTGACTTGGCTCTGGCTTGGTGGAGAATTTTAAAAAGTTTGTTTTCAAGTTTGCTAGGAGATGGGGGAGGTGGAGAAGGGTTACATGGGGGGAAGGGGAGCTGGTCGGGTCATGGCAGGGAGCGAGCCTTCTCCTGGGTCTGGCTGAATCACAGAAGATGCAGTTGAGGACTCAGAGATAAAACCTGGCAACTCTTACGGAAATCTGGAAAGCAACAGCAGGTCGGGTCGCAGCTCCGCCTTCCAGCTGGGTTTGCTGAGCAAACCAGAAGCGGCCCTTGCAAGCTAGCAGAGGTAACTGAAGGGGCCCATGGCAGGCGCTGTCACCCACCAAGGCCAATCTGTTCCCTTTGGCTCAGCCCAAGCTTTTCCTCCCAGAGGGAAGAAGAAGAGGAGAAAGCTTGGTGCAAATGCTCAGCCTTGCAAGTGCACCCACAGGGCCTGAGTTGGGCAAGTTTCAACAGGTTTGGGGAGCACTGTCTTGTCAGATGCTTGCTGAGTTGCTCAATTGCTAATCCAGGACTGAGGGAAGAAGTCAAACCATAGCAGACAGCTGGGTTGTGGCTGCTGCCTGAGCAAACCCCGAGGGCAGAGCCTGGTGAGGGGGGCTTGGTGGAGGGTGAGGAACAGCTCAGCCTGGTACAGCAGGAGAGGCAGGGCTGCAGGGCTGCTGGGTGACAGCCACACTTCCTGATTCCCACCACAGCACATTTTAGTGTCACCTGAGCCCTGGGGCAGTGGAAGGAAGTTGTCCTCCTACTTGAAGTCTTTGAAGATGGTCAGTCTTTGACATCTAGAAGTAAAACGAGCCCTTCTTTCATTTATCCATCAAGTGCTGACTGAGCACCTGCTTTGTGGCAGGCCTGTGCCAGGCACTAGGGGATGCTCAGATGCCCTTGTGCCCCAGCTACCACCTCCAGAAGCACTATTATGTATGTATAACACAACATGGTTCTATGGGTAGGGGCTGAAAGCCCGGAGACTTGGACATGTGAGAGCAAGTCAAGTTCAAGTCCTGCTTCCTCCGAGAAGGAAGTGGCTACCACTTGTCACCACCCCTCTGGGCCTCTGAAGTGGGGCTGAAAGCTACACTCACTCCTCCCTGGAGGGGGCAGGGAGGGAGGATGTGTGGCTCAAGGAGGACAGTGGGTGTGAACGTGGTTTGTGAGCCATTCATTCTTAACATGTGGATGTGCTTTTGCCCCCTAGGGCGCATTTGGCAATGTCTGCAGACAATGGCCAGGTAGGAAGCAGTATTTCTGCTCCTGGCATCTCATGGGTAGAGGGCTGAGGTGCTCCTAAACATCTTACAGACCCTTAACAAATAATTATCAGGCCCCACATATTAATTATACCAAGGTTGGGAGAAATTCTAATACACACTGTAAAGTGTTATAAGTGTGTTAGTGATTGTAACTCACTGCTCAGAGCCACCAGGGGAGCTCCCAGGATATAGAGTTTTACGATTTAGTGAGGAAGGAGGGACACATTTTTACTTGTGGGGCTGCCCCAAATGCTGAAGCTCGGGGCTGGAAGCTAAGGGAGTCAACCCAGCCCCACGGGGCAAGCACATGCACAGGAGCTTGGCATGAAGATACTTCCCTGTGGGACTGAGAGCCAGTAGGGTGAGTGACGCTTGCTTCACTTCCCGTATTCGGCACTGAAAGGTGTTCCCTGTGATAACCCACTAGCCAGCAGAGTTTGCCTGTGTACCAGTCTGGCTTCCCTGGCTATGTACAGGATCTGGGAGAGCCTTGGTTGAAGAGCATGAGAGCAGTGGCCTAAGCTCCTCCTTGTGTAAGATTGCAGGATCCAGACAGAACAGTATGAGTAAAACAAGTTAGGGAACAGCCTAAAGGCCCATTCTGTCATCCCTGTAGACAGGGACACAACTACAGCCCACTGATAAGAGCCTTCAGCTTCTGTGGCTACCACTTGTATCAGTTTGCCTGGCACTGTGTCCGGCACAACACATGCCTTCTTTCTTGCCAACCACCATGGTGTACATTTGTGACAAAGGGTACCATTTTACACATGAGGCCACAGAAGCTCTGAGGGGTTGAATCACCTGTCCAAGGTCCCTCTACTGCAGTGGTAGAGCTGAGGTGGGACTCTAGGCTGTCTCTGTTCCAGAGACCCAGCTCCTGGTTAGAGTGCTGCAGAAACTTCTCCCTCTGGTCAGCTAGGGGTGCTGATCAGGTACTGCTGCTTTTCCCCAGGAGCCCACAATAATGAGACCTCAGCTTATCTGTTCCCTTGCCCTTCCCAGTACTTTCATTAGGAGTTCAGAACAAACTTCTGAGGATTGTGACCCAGAGGGAGAAAGAGGCCCAGGCCAGGTCAGCCAGCATGAGCTGGGACTGGAAGCCAGGTCTCCTGGGCGTAGTCCCATTGTCTGGGTGAAGGGGCCATTCAGAAACATTTCTGAGCTGTGTCTATGGCAGGGCAGTCCTTTGAGGGCAGAGTGCATGCCTTCCTTCCACCAAAGGACTATGTAGCCCTCCTGCCATAAGCTGTCAGTTCATTTGTGGTGCCAGACAGGAGCCTAATCGACAGATTCCAGCTTCTCTGGGCTTGCCCAGGCCTCAGGCTATAGAGCCCTCCCATCTCCAGGCTCTGTCCTGCCCAACAGCTGCACACAGCAGGACACCTGGCCTCCCTGCCAGGCCACCCACCCTCCTGAGACAATAGACAGCACCAGCTCTGCAGCCAGCCGGCCCACCAACCCTGTCTTCAGATACTGGGAGGGCACAGGGCATTCAGGCCTTGTGCCTCAGTTCTAGCCGTCCTCTTAGGGCTAGACCTGTAGCTTGGCTCACACTTGAAAAGACACTTTGCTATCACTTTGCATGGATGTATAGCTGCCTGCCTGAGGCTGTTCCTTGTTGAGGCAGCTTTGGGTCAGACACTTTGTGTCACTTACTAGCTAGGTGGCTTTGGGCAGTTGCAACCTCCAGGAGCCTGAATCTTTTCATCTGTAAAGTGGATTTTAAATGTAGTCTGGATTTAGATAGTCCCGTGGGAGTTATTATAATTATTATGTCATGACTACAGCCTCCAGGGCAAGTTCCTTCTGATTGCTGCTCACACTCAATTCTGTCCTCTGAGAGCTAAGTGGCATATACACCACCACCCATTTGTGCTTTTGCTTTTGTCCTTTCCTTTCACCTAGACCCCAAGCTCCTGGGAGGCATGCTGTGACACCTATTTCCCCCAAAGCTGCTCTCAGCCCTGCTGGGGATGGAGGGAGATAAATATATGTCAATAACCCTGGTTTGTGTGTATGGGGGGACTGTGCCTGCTGTGTCTTCTCCTTCAGAGCCCTTCTGGTTCCATGGGGTCCTGGGAGGCCCCTTGCTCTTTTTGCCCAAGGTTGAGCAGGGACCCTTGGCTTAAAGCCCAGATGGAGCAAGAGTGAGCTGGGTCATCCAGAGTCCTACTAGTGGCAACCTGAAACATCACAGTTGCAGAGAACAGGTTTGCCAACCTCTTCTCCCTCCAGACTGCCCCTTCTCACCCACCCCCCGTGGCATAGGCTCAAGAACTGAGCTGTTGGAATTCCCCGTGGTTTGCATGACCCAAAGCCCAAAGCTGGGCTGCCTCCTCTGGGGCAGCCTCAGGGAGATGTAGGATGACCCTACCTGGAAGTCAGACACCTGGGTTTGGTTCTCAGCTCTGACTGGTGGGTAGCTTTTCCTCCCTGGGCCTCAGTTTCCTCATCTATAAAGGGATCCAATGAGGCCCCCAGGGACTCCAGTGGAAAGGGCCAGATGTCCTGAAGGGCTCTCCATTGCAGGATGTCCCTGTGTTCCTTGAAGAACGGGGTTATGCTCTCATTGCCATTTTTCTTTTTGCAGCCTTCAGCAGGGGGCAGGCTGACCACCTCCCCTGTTCCTCCTGATGCTCAGACCTGTTCTGGCGACTCCAGCTTTGAGCCCATGTATTTAAGAGCCAGATCTAGAGACTCCAGGCTCCCCCAAGTCTAAACACAGCTCGGAGATCCAGGCCCTGCTTAGGGCACTCTGCAGGGGGGCAGAGGGAGGAGGTGGTGGTGCCCTGGTTTCTGTACACACTGCCACTGCTCCTGAAGTGTTAATCAAATTAAGCCTCCAAGAAAAACAAAAGCTCTGCAGCCACTTTGGGATGCCTTGGAGTCACTCTCTCTTGGAACAGCTGGGAGAATTCCACATCACCTCCATCCCCCAAGCCCTGGGTGGCTCTGACCCCAACGATCACACTCCTTCCCGCCTGTAGGGCCCCGGCTGGCCACAATGACCTCATAGCAACAGCCATTGGACACTGGGGGCAATTTCATGGGAGATATTTGTTCTTTGGTCTTGATGCAGAGAGAATTTTTTCCTCTCCCTTGGTCTCCATGGAAACCCTACTACACTGTTGGCTATCCCCCTCCCACCTCATGCTTTTCAGATCAATATTGGGGCTTGGCTCCCCACTGTTGGCCCACAGCTGCTAGGGGCAGAGCTCTGGGCAGGAGGAGCTAGGTCCAGGGTTAAGCCTGGGGCATGGGGAAGTGTCACTGAGGAGGGATGGAGTCCGGCTCCTCTGCCTCCCTATTACCCCAATGCACTGCAGCTCATCCCTTTAGCTCCCCTTCTTTTCTGCAAGCTTCTGTCCCATTCTCCTGAGCACAGACCCAGTTGAGGAGAGATAGGTATCCAGCGGTTACCACCCCGTTCCTCCTCCGGCTAGACCCATGGAGGTGGGTGGCGGCTGTTGTCCCCTTTGAAGGCTGTTAGCAGTTTCTTCCTGCCTCAGGAACACCAAGGTCAGGACAGAGCCAAGAGCGGGCTCTCAGAGGCTCGGTGTCCCGGTCCCTTCCCTCTTTCCATGCCTGGCTCCCGCCCCCCAAGCAGAAACAGGTTCCTGCACGCCTCCTGCCCAGCCCGCAGCGCGGCGCAGTTAGGCATGGGGAGCTCTCCCAGACTTCTAGGGATTAACCTGCTATTATGTCCTGGAGCCCTTCCCCATAATGGGCTTCTCCGAGATCTGTCACTCCTGTGGGCTGCGCCAGGCCCCGCACTCCTCCGGGGCTGCTGCCCCGCGTTCGTGCTCCATGCGCCCTCGGGCGCCCAGGGCCTCCTGTGGGTGCGGACACCTCAGCCATCCCTGCTGCTCTGGCAGAAGGGGCCCAGGGTGTCCAGTTGAAGGCCGGGTAGCGGTGGTAGCGCAAGCAAGTAGCCTCCCGTCCGGCGGCCAAGGCACCTGCCGGGCGCCCCCGCGCCCGCTGCCCCGCGCCGCCTGGCACCGGCCGCTGCCCG